CCCCCATTTTTAACCCATTCCTCCCCATTTTTAACCCTTTCCTCCCCATTTTTAACCCATTCCTCCCCATTTTTAACCCTTTCCCCCATTTTTAACCCATTCCTCCCCATTTTTAACCCTTTCCCCCATTTTTAACCCATTCCTCCCCACTTTTAACCCTTTCCTCCCCATTTTTAACCCATTCCTCCCCATTTTTAACCCTTTCCCCCCATTTTTAACCCTTTCCTGCCCCCCCAGCGCCTCCAGGAGCTGCTGCTCCCCTTGGCCCTTCGCCTCCCCCAGTGCCCCGAGCCCCCTCCCCAGGGTCCCCCCCCTGCCCCGGGACCCCCCCAGCTTTCGGGGGTCCCCTCCCCGGTTTTGGGGTCCCCCTTTGCCAGCGGCCGCTGTCGGGGGGGGCTCTACGGGGTCCTGCAGGCGCTGCTGCTCGGGGCCCCCCCCGGCGCCGCGCCGCCGCTGCCCTGCGCGCTCCGGGCCTTCGGCCAGGGGATGAGGGACCCCGACGTGCAGGTGAGACCCCCAAAACACCCCCAAAATGTCCCAAGTTTATCCCAAAAACGGCCCCAAAATGTCCCAAGTTTATCCCAAAAACGGCCCCAAAATGTCCCAAGTTTATCCCAAAAACGGCCCCAAAATGTCCCAAGTTTATCCCAAAAACGGCCCCAAAATGTCCCAAGTTTATCCCAAAAACACCCCCAAAATGTCCCAAGTTTATCCTAAAAATGTCCTGGAGTTATCCCAAATTTATCCCAAAAAATATCCCTGAAATGCCCCGAAAATATCCCCCAAAATATCCCAAATTTGTTCCAAAAATATCCCAAATTTGTTCCAAAATATCCCCAAAATATCCTGAATTATCCCCAAAATATCCTCAAAACATCCCCAAAATAACCTCAAAACATCCCCAAAATAACCCAAATTTGTTCCAAAATATCCCAAAAATATCCCCAAAATATCCCAAAAATATCCTCAAAACATCCCCAAAATATCCTCAAAATATCCCCAAAATATCCCCAAAATATCCCCAAAATACCCCAAAATATCCCCAAAATACCCCAAAATATCCCAAAAATATCCCAAAAATATCCTGAATTATCCCAAAAAAATCTCAGAATTATCCCCAAAATGTCCCTGGAAATATCCCCAAAATATCCCAAACTTATCCCAAAAATGTCCGGGAATTATCTCCAAAATACCCTCAAAATATCCCAAACTTATCCCAAATTTATCCCAAATTTATCCCAGATTTATCCCAAATTTATCCCAGATTTATCCCAGATTTATCCCAGATTTATCCCAAATTTATCCCAAATTTATCCCAAATTTATCCCAAATTTATCCCAGATTTATCCCAAATTTATCCCAAATTTATCCTGAATTTATTCCAAATTTATCCCAAAAATGTCCTGGAGTTGTCCTGAGAACGTCCCCGAAATAACCTGAATTATCCTCAAAATATCCCGAATTTATCCCGAATTTATCCCGGAAATATCCTGGGAATGTCCTGGAATTGTCCCGGACACGTCCCCGAATGATTGTCGGGTGCTCTCCCCCTTCCGGGACCCCCAAATCCCACCCAGGACCCCCCCAAATCCCCCTCGGGACCCCCCAAATCCCACCCAGGACCCCCCAAATCCATTCCAGGACCCCCCAAATCCATTCCAGGAC